TATTCAGTTACAACCCATCGAATATTCTCACTCTCACAGATCAGTTACAAATAGTCAACCTAAACTCATCAGTTACTTCCATTCCAACCCCTGAAGCTGCATGGGCAGGACCTAAGAGCCGACATCGGGGACAAGACTGTAGAAATGCATGAGGCTGGACGGGCCTACGAGACAATCAGCAAGAAGCTTGGTGGAAAATCATATCGCAGTAGCCTTAGAAGAAAAAACAGGAAGAAAACTGGAATGCAATATTAAAGAAAAAAATGAAGCAACTAAGAGCGACGACAAGCCCAAAGAAACAAACGTCGAGAGAATTACAAAACACAAAATTACAGCTGATAATATTTTATCATAACAACAAACAGAATATCTGCTACATAACAATTTCCAATACAATCAGCCAACAAACAAAACAGTGCAAATAAACTTCAAGATAATAGGAACTGAATGATACCGTCTATATCTACTGAAAATAAGCCTAATTCAGAAGACATTCACTCATCATTCACCATCTAAAGAAGACACAGAGTTGTGTTGAACCACCAATGAGCTACATGGTGCCTTAATCTGAATGCCAAAGAAGGCGCTGGGCTCTGATGTAGGGCTGGGCGATATATCAAAAATTTATCGTTACCGAAGTTTATGACTCTCATCGACGTCATTTTGCCCATGTCGGTAAATTCGGTATTTAAAAAAAAAAGAAAAGGCATGTGCAGGTTGGCGATGTTCATGTCCCTTTAAGACGCTGTGCTACGTTACAGACTTGACGGGGTGGAGTCACATGACTCTACTACCTGTAACAAGACAAGACACGGGTGAACAAATGGAGGACGATTTAAATGTTGAAGCAGCAGCGACGGAGGTAGAGCTGGTGGAGGAGGAAGAGGAGACGCTTGTTAACAAAAAAAATGCATCATCAATCGTTTGGCAACATTTTGGATTCAACAAGGATGATATTGATCAAAAAATTGTTAAATGTAAAGTCTGCAAAAAGACTGTTGCGTCAAGTCTAGGTAACACAACCAACCTCTTCCACCACCTGCAGCACAACCATGTGATTCAATTCGAAGACATAAAAAAAGCTCAAAGCGAGAAGAGAGTGGAGGACCAGCAAAAACGTCTTCCTCCACCAGGCAGCGGTCAATAACCGAAGCATTTGCTAGTACTCAACTATATGAGCGAACTTCAAAAAGATGGCAAGAAATCACAAATGCTATAGGCTACCACATAGCAAAAGACATGGCTCCTATTGCTACAGTGGAACGCAACGGGTTCAGACACTTCATGAAAATAATTGACAGAATACGAACTCCCATCACGAAAATATTTTTCAAAAACTATCATTCCCAGCATGTACAGCACAGAGAGGGAAAAGGTTGCTGCTGAATTGAGATACGTTAAGCACGTTGCAGCCACATCCGATCTCTGGTCCAGCCGTACAATGGAGCCGTATATTAGTCTCACAGTTCATTACATCGACAACAAATGGGAGCTGCGTACCAGAGTGCTCGAGACGGCCTATTTTCCATCTGATCACACGGGGGAGATGGTTGGACAGGGGTTGAGAGCGATGCTGTCTGCATGGGACATCAGTGAAGAGGACCTTGTTGCTATAACAACTGACAACGGCCCAAATATTGTGAAAGCTGTCAAGCTCAATAAATGGACACGGGTGCAATGTTTTGGGCACAGGCTGCACCTGGCAATGGTAAGTGTGTACATCTTAATATATTTGGGTGGTGACATCTGGTGTGTTTTAAAGTGACTTTAATTCTGTGCGTCATATTCAAAATTGAAAGTATTAATGTTTGAATAATGTTTATGAGGTAAAATACTTAGCTGCTGAGAGCATACCAGACAAGTTCAAGACTTTGGCCACTGCTAATGGCGTAAAGTGCAAAAACTGTTTATGTCTTTGCATACGTCCAGCCACCAGCCCCATCGGGTTTTCATTTTGTGAAACATTGACATCAGATCCTGCCTGAAACCTGACATGGTCAATATGCTTGTGTTTCTTAGCAAGAACCTGGAGTAAACACTACTCAGGTAAACATCTACAACAGTAGTTTGATTGAACCGCTCAGGATACCAAGTCTGCTGCTGCCCCTTTTTGAAGTGCCCTGTTCAAGCCCTGCCTAATTTTAACTATCAGTGTTCTATTGAAGTTTTTTGCAAACAGCACTATTTAATGTTTTTGTTTAAGAGTTTATAGTTTTCACTAGTCACATGGCAGTGCTTAGTATTTATTATAGTTTTTTCTGTGTTCAATTGACATTTGTGTTTGTGACATTATTTGTTTACAAGTTATAGTACCTCAAGGCCTTAGCAGAGATAGGCCTTTGTCCATGAGGCATTACATTTGCACAATCATTGTTTACTTTGTGAATAGCCAATGTGAAACATATTTATTATTAAACTATTTTGTTTACAAGGGATACACATTTTTTAGAGAGCATGGTTACATATTGTATCCTACACTTTTTATTTTGTTCAGTTAATAAATCTTAACCACTAAAAGTACTTACTACTATTGTCTTCATTTATTTTCAGTGACATTTTACAGTCCTTTAAAGTGGTAATAATATAATTGCAATGAATAGGTCTAGGGGGAATAATATTATCAAAATAACTGGAGGAACTATGCTGCCTGCCACAGCCCCATCAAATGAAAAAAAAAAAAACGTTTGTTTTTTTGGCACTTGGGGTGGTTATCGTCCATTTATCGTTATCGAGGTTAACTGCTCAATTTATCGTGATATTGATTTTAGGCCATATCGCCCAGCCCTACTCTGATGGATCTCCATTTCTTACTCTATGATTAGTCAGAACAGTCGCAGTAATAAAACATAACAGCCTGCTTCCTTCCCATATTAACACAGCTGCAATAACACTTTGACTAAAACCAGATAAAGACCCTACTCTACCTACCGACCTCTGTCAATACCCACATTAAAGTTATCCCTAAGTCACTTGCATCTAAGTTAGAAACAGTCCCTGAATAAGTCATAACGACCAAACAGGGTTCGTCAAAGGCAGACGTTCTACTAATACATTTAGAAGGTTATTCAACCTCATTAGCCTGGCACTGCGGCGCAACGCTAAAGCAACAGACGAGATGCAGAAAAGGCCTTTTGGTCTTCCTTTTCATGGTTCATGGTTTTGGAAAGTCTTTTATTCATTGGATAAGAACTGTATATAATTCACCAAAGGCCACAGTCTCCACTAACAGCATCATATCACAATCTTTCACCCTGTGATAGGTTGAAATCTTGATAGGTTGAACGCTCAGCTTTTCAGCATCAACTCAATCTGCTGTGTTTGGAAGCAGAGCTGAGTATGACCCAAAGAACACTGTTGCTACAGCCACGCATGGAGCTGGAAACATTATACGTACTTCTGCTAAAGCTGCAGGATGACCTCACCACACTGAGGGTCCAACGGGCTACGACATGTACCGTTGGAAGATAACAGAGACAAACACAGCCAGAACACGGAACGTGGGACAGTCGTCAGGCATGACAATGACCCATTAAATGATTTTTCAAAATAAAAGTGCAGGGCTCACCATTTTGAGGACGTCGTTGTTGTTATGGACCTAACTTTAGTTTTAGACCGTTTTCTGTCTATCATTCAAAATAAATGTAAATTCATTTTGTTGTTAAATTCAATTTCAATTTATTTATTTATTTTATA